GTCGGGTGAGACTAAACTCAGGCATTTGTGGGACAATCACTCGAATCGGGAACTCTTTGAATTCACTGAAATACTTAATCATGCAATTAAAGTGATTATAATAACCGGGCACTCCATGGATGGCAACGATAGTCTTTACATTATCACTCTCTCGGACCTGTTGTCCGGCAAATGTGTCCACATATTCAACACTAACGGGTAATCCATCGGAAGGACTGTTTCGATAAAGTTTTACATTCTTTGTCTTCAATTCTTCATATAATTTGCCACAAGTTTTGAATTCAATTCTTTGTAAAAAAACTCTCATTAATTGTATGTTTATAACACTTTTGAACAGTTTTTGTTAAATCAAACAATTGTTTTGCAAATAAAACTCTTTTAGAAATCATTTTTATAAAATAATTTAAGGAAATATTTTGCTAAACTTAGTAAATATATTTAATATTTAAACAATTAAAACAACATTAATATTTGTCTAATAGTACTTCTATAGGATATCTAACATTTTATTTATTTTTAATAGCATGTGCTTATTACTAATGTTAGTAGGAATAAATAATAATAATAATATAAAATATTTATAAATAATACATAGATAATTCTAGTTAAAAATACATGAAAAATAATTTCATATGACATTCATGTTAAACACAATTAAGTCAATCAAAGGATATGTTTGTATTTTATTATAACTATTAGTAAAACAGTTAATAAAATAACAATAAAACGAAGGAAGAAATTAATATAATCATCGATTAATATAAATTATAACATTGAATATTGAATAAAATATTTAATACATAACACTTGTAATTAAAGATGAATTTAAAAACATTTAAATAGTAAAACAATGAAACAAATATAATATAATTTACTTCAATTTGATTTTATTTTTAAATAGTTGAATAAAATTTAATTTAATTAATAATTATATTTATAGTATTATTTACTCAACAGATGATTAACGATATGTTTGTTCACAATATCACTGTATTTGATATAAGAGAGATGTCCGCCGGCTTTAAATGTTATCACTTGAATCCAGTGATCACTTTGCGGGACACTTTCGATGGCAAAGTTTTTATCACAGGAATAGCGGACAATATGTTCGTCAGTGGCGCCCAAATCGCGGACAAAATGTTGGAAGTGATCGTTTGGCACTAAATCATCTCTCTCTCCGTGAACCAGAAGTGTTGGGATCTGATGTGATCTGATATACTCTAATCGGTGGTGAAGTTTATCGGTGTCTGAACGGGAAAAATGGCCGCACAATAGCATTTCATCCACCGATTCCAATGATAGCATAAAACCCAAATCGCGGGCCATTTTGTCCGGTCTTAAGGCGTCCATTGCATTGATTCCGGCCGTAGTTTCACCGACTTGTGCCCAATAACGGCACACCGTTTGGAAATGAGGCAATTTCCAGAAAACAAATGGACTAAACAAACAAATTGATCCGATTGTCAGCTCTTGAGGCTATAATCAGTTATTTTAATAATATATGATAATTATAATTATTAATGCAATAAAAATACAATTATATTTCAAAATATAAAAGTATTGATTTATTAGATATGTCTTACATCGGACCAGATCTTGGAGTTGGCATTCGTTCCCCCGGAATGGCTGACCAGACAATCAATTTTTGTCACATTAATGGCCTGCAAAAAGTCACGTATGAATTGCGATCTCTCATCGTTTGAGTGCCAGAAAGCCATCGACAGTCGGGTGAGACTAAACTCAGGCATTTGTGGGACAATCACACGAATCGGGAACTCTTTGAATTCACTGAAATACTTAATCAAGCAATTAAAGTGATTGATATAACCGGGCACTCCATGGATGGCAACGACTGTCTTTACATTATCACTCTCTCGGACCTGTTGTCCGGCAAATGTGTCCACATATTCAACACTAACGGGTAATCCATCGGAAGGACTGTTTCGGTAAAGTTTTACATTCTTTGTCTTCAATTCTTCATATAATTTGCCACAAGTTTTGAATTCAATTTTTTGTATAAAACTCTCAGTTATTGTCTGTTTATAAGACATTTGTTTCACAAATAAATCTCTTTTTGAATTCATTTTTAAAATAAATGATATAAAAGATTAAATTATAATTTATAAAACACTGTATTATAGAGTATTCAATATTTAAACAATTAAAAAAAAATATATATTAATATTTATCAATTAATACTTTTATAACATTAACAATTAATTTATTTTTAATAGCATGTGTTAATAGTGCATAGCGTTTAAAATTAAATAGTGTTTATTTAATTATTACCAGGAATAAATTATAAATTAAATTCTAATTAATTTTTTTAATTTATAAATAAAATTTCCACGTATTGGTAATATATGCATGATAATGTATAATATATGCATGGATCATGCAGCATGATAATGTTACTTTATTCATATAAAATAATTTCAGCTGAAATATACACAACAATAATTTATTTATTTAAGTAAAAATTGCTATTTCATCTCAATTGAAAACTTATAAAAAACATTTTTATTAATTTAATTTATAATTATTTAAGAAAGATTACACATGATTGAATTTGATAACATTTAGACAATTTGTCGGACAATTAATTTATGGTTTTAATTAGTAGTCATTGATTATTATATAAATAAATTTATTGAAGAAATCATTATAAAGTATAATTAGAAATGTGTTGTTCAATAATTTGTGTTCATTTAAATATTTAATTGCAATGTAAATGTTGGCAAAATTCAGATTATAATCTATGAAAAGTAATTGTTTCACAATAATTGAGACAAATAATAGTTGTAGAAACAAATATATTTCTCATTACAAAACAAATTTAATTTGAGATTTTTTTTGTATAATTGATAAATGAAATTATTGACAATAATTTAGATACAAGTTTCAAATAACAAAATTATATCAAAGACCACTCATTACTGTTGTCTTTCATTTGAAGACTAACTTTAGGACAATTAATGATCAGATTATTGACAGTTATTTCTGAAGTGAAATCAATTCCTTTGAGTTGAATGCAACGGATTTGTGTCAGTCTTGACAATGCATTCAACACTTCATCCGTTATTATCACTCCATTGAGTCTCAGATCCAGAAGTTGTGGTAAATTGTTGTGAATATTAGCGACAAAAGTGTGGATTACATGAGTTTTCTTTAAATAGTTTACAAAATAGCAATTTATACTGAAATGTGTTAATCGTTTCATTGATTTGAATGAATCGCTCGTCAATTCAAAACATCCATTAATTTCCAAACGACTTAATTGTTTAAAGTTTTTGACAATTGTTTCAATTATTTGTTCATTGAATACAAGTGGAGATGTTTTCGATTCAATGGTAAGACTCTTGAGTTGTGGGCATTTGTGACCGATTTGTGACAACAAAAGCAAAATTGTTTTCTCGCAAATGAATCGGACTTTCAGATCAATCAATGCCGGCATTTGTGACAAACCATCCGATAGTTTGTTAACCATATTATCGCCGATAAAACAATAGAAAGTGAATTCAATTGACTTAATATTGTGGCCGTAATTGTGAGCAAACAATTCAAATGCTGTTAAATCATAGACTATCGGCTCGTTTGAGGGAAATATAACTAAATGAATACTTTTGAGTCGTTTATAGTTTTGTAAACAATTTTTAGCACTCAATACGAGAGGAGTTTTTGACAACTCTTCAAATGATATACTAATTGGAGTGAAATTAACAAACATTTGAAGGCTTTCATACATATTATTATTTGGCAAACAATATAATAATATGTTTTCTAATTGTTTGGAAAATCTTGTCATAAATTTATTCATTAAATCCACAAAATTGTCGCCAAAATCAGAGTTAATGCCATTTAAATGATTGCAATGTTTTAGAAGTAAATCCATTAATGAATCGCTTTCTTTAAATGTATGGCAAATAAATGTAATGTTTGGACATTTTATCAGTATTTTCTCAATTGTATAAAAATTATTATTAATTAAATTGTTGTCAATATTTAGTGATAATTGTCTGTTATATACGAGTCTTCGCCACTGTTTTGATAGACATTCACAACGGAATCGGTCTTCAAATGTGAGGAAAGACAACAACTCTTCGCACAAATCGTCACCAAATCTATCGAAAGAGTCTTTGCTATAGAT